GAACAGTGATTCTGAACCCCTATAGGTCATCATCTTCTGTTTGACAACTACAGCCCTTTACAATCTGATTCCATCCCTACCTTTCTAGGTCTCTTAGACATTATTCCCCTTCATGCTGTCCTAGCAGTCTCATAGCTCAACTGACCTGCTTCCTGTTGCTCATACAGAAAAACACAGATCCTGTCTCCTTCACTTTGCACAAACCGTCCCCTGCCTGAAATGTATTACCTCCCCCCCTCTGTGTTGTAGAACAAGCACTACCTGTCTTTGAGGCTTTTCCTCTTTTCTCCAGCTACTTGTGTTTCTGCCCCCAATGTAAAAAGTATTACCATTCATTTATTTTGCATATATGTTGTATTTATTTCTGTTGCTACACATTGTTTCCCTATTGTAATGTTAGCTTCTCAAGGGCAAAGGACAGGATGGTGTATACTATAGTATAGCTTAGGGAATATTTGTTGATTGACTCATTGAATTGTAGAATTTTTAAGCTAAAAGAGATTTTAGAAATAATGTAACTGAATCCCTTTATTTTACAGATGAGAAAAGTGAGGCCTAGAGGTTCAGTGATCTAATTAAGGTCATGCAACTAGAAAATGGCAGAAGCAGGACTAAACCTCAGTTCTTCTGACTTCTCATTGAATGTTCCTGCCTCTGACTCTGTGCCTTGTGCCTTCTTGCTGGACACAACGTGCCCCCTAAGGGAAGGGTCTTGGCGTTTCAGTCTGCCCCAAAGCAACAGCTTCCATCTGTGCCAGCACAAGGCAATTTCCACCTTTTGTTACTTTCCCAATCTCTTGATCGGTATATGGAAAACCTTCTGGGCAAAGAGGAGCATCCTTCCCTTTGACCTCAGATCTTCTATCTCTTGCCTTACCTGTCCCTTGAGGGAAGAAGAAGATGAAAGTTGGTGGAGAATGGGACTTCTTTCTCTTGTGGTGTGGATTTGATTTTCATCTTCTGCTACACCCTATCCTGCCTAATCTCCACTTTGGAGGGAAGAGGAGTAGTGAAATGGGACGTCCCAACTGATCACCTGACTGTGTGTCTCCCCTCTCATACTGTACTTGCCTTCAGCCCAATCTTTTGGGAAGTGGAGTGGTACTCCTCACTCAATGGTTTTCACATCTGATCATACCCTTTATATCCCAGTGATTCTGAACTCCTATGAGTCATCATCCAAACCTCATTCCCCACCTCACCTCCCAATTCCTTATTCCCATTCCTTTAAACCTTTCCAACCCAAAGTTTCAACCAAACACCATGCAGCCCCTCCAGTGTTACCTATGGAATGCCTGTTCCATAAGCAACCAACTTCCCTCCTTCCTTAAAGTTTTTCTTTCTTATTTCTTCTGTTATAGCTATTACTGAACCCTGGCTTCCTTCCAATGACGCAGCCTCACTAGCTACCCTTTCCAGTGTTAACTACACCTTCACTCATTCCCCTTGGCTCAGTGGTCGAGAAGGGGTAATTGAAATATTTCTGGCTACCTGTTGCTACTTTCAGGTTCTCCCCCTAAGCTCCATCACTCAGGAACTTTTCCTCTTTTCAGGCTCATGCTATTCATATCTATGACCCAAACAATCCCAGTAGCAGGAATTTAGGGTTAGGGTTACAAAACTCCAGGTCACTCTCCTTTCTTCCTCAATAAGTCCGGTACATGACTTACAATTTTTCTGTCCTCCCCAACTCTTGTCCACATGCTAGGGGACATCAACATATATATTGACTCTCCTTCAAACACTCTGACCATTCAGTTCCTTAACTTACTTCCTGTGACCTACCACTCCTCTACTCCATTTCAGCCACATGCAAAAATGGTCATACCCTTATCCTTGCCATCACCTTCACACTTGCACCACCTCCATGTTCAAGAATTCTAAAACTCCTTTATCTGACCATAATCTATTGGCTTTTTACCTCTTTCTCTGCCTTCGCTTACAAAATTTTACTCTGTCCACACCATGATCTCTAATCCCATGACCCTTTAGGTCTCTCCCAAGCTATCTCTCCTCTTGACCCCTTGGTGAATCAATTTAACTGAACGCTGTCCTCCTCTCTTGAATCTCTAGTTCCCTTATCACTTGTCTGATTATGCCCTGCCAAACCTCAGCCTTGGACCACTCCTACTATTTTCCATCTTTGCTTCAACACAGATGCTGCTAAATGAAGGTGGAGAAAAATCACACAACCATTCTGACTGGATCCACTACAAATTTATGTTACACAACCTCAACTGAGCCCTCACTGCTGCTAGACAGTCTTACCTTGTCAACTCACTGCCCTGTTCTCCACAGAGGCCATTTTTTCATCCTTCCTCACACCTTTTCATCCCTCCTCTTGTAACTCCCCCCTGTGAGCTGAGTACCTTGCTTCATATTTTACAAAAAAAAAAAATTGAAGCCATTTACCATGAGCTTCCTCTTCTCCCTTCTTCTTTATTTCTTGTCATTCATATGCCTTCTGCCCTGATCACCTTCCCTTCTGTCTTGATGAGGTGGCCTTACTGGCCTCACTTTTTACCAAGGCTAACCTTTCTACCTATTCAAGCGATCCCATTCCTTCCCATCTTCTCCAACAGATTGCCCCCTCTGTCATTCCCAGTTTTATCACTTATTTTCAATCGGTCCCTGTCTACTTCCTCATTCCTACTGCCTACAAATATGTCCATGTCTCCCTCATCCTGAAAAAACCCTCACTAGATCCTTCCATCCCCACTATCCATTGTCTATATCTCTTCTGCCATTTGTGGCTAAGCTATAGCCACAGTGCAATGGGTGCCTCCACTTTCTGTCCTCTCATTCTCTTCTTAAGCCCTTACAATCCAGCTTCCAGCTTTATTGTACCACCAAAGATTTGGAAATTTGCTGTCTCCAAAGTTACCAGTGATCTCTTAGTTGCCAAATCCAATGGCCTTTTCTCAGTCTTCATTCTCCCCAACATTTCTGTAGCCTTTGACACTCTTGATCACCCTCTTAACCTTGATACTCTTTTCTCTCTAAGTTTTTTGTACTGTACTCTCTCCTTTTCTCCTGCTACTATGTGATCTCCTTTGTTGGATCCTCTGCCAGGTCATGCCAGATCATTCCCTCCAACCATAGGTATCCCTCAGGGTTCTGTCCTCAGCCCTCTTCCTTACCCCCTCTATACTGCTGTATTTGTTACTCTCATGGATTTAATTACCATCTCTGTGTATGATGGTGATTCTCAAATCTACGTATTCTGTTACATCCTTTCTGCTGACCTATGATCTTACATCTCTAACTACCTTTTAGACATCTGGAACTGGATATCCAGTAGACATCTTAAACTTAACTTGTCCAGAATGGAACTTGTTATCTTTCCCTTAACAACGCGCCGCCCCAACCCCTTCTATATTAATGTAGTAGGCAACACCATCTTTTCAGTCCCTCAGGCTCACAGTCTAGAAGTCATCCTTAACTCATAACTATCTCTAACCACTAACCCCCTTCCCCCCACTCCTAAGCTGTTGCCAAGGCTTGTTGATTCCATCTGTGCAATATCTATTTAACATACCCCCTTTTCTCTTCTGACACTGCTACCACTCTAATGCAGACTCTTATCACCTCATGCCTGGATAATTGCAATAGCCTGCTAGTGGATCTGACTGCCTCAAGGCTCTCACCACTCCAATCTGTCCTCCATTCAGCCACCAAAGTGATTTTCCAGTCCCAACTATCCCTCCCTAATCATTAAACTCCACTGGCTCCCTGTTACCTTTGGGATCAAATACAAAATCCTCTGCTTACCATTCAAAGCCCTTCATAACCTAGCCCCCTCCTATTTTTTCAGTCTGCTTACATTTTACTCCCTACCACATACTGTTTGATTCAGTGACGTTAACCTTCAGGCTGTTCCACAAACAAGACTCCATCTCTCATCTCTGGCCATTTTCTCTGATTGTCCCCCATGCCTAAATTGCTCCCCCTCTACATCTCCATCTCCTGGCTTTCTTTAAGTCCCAACTAAAATCCCATGTTCTACAGGAAGTCTTTCCCAAACCCTCTTCATTCTAGTGCAGGCCTGTACAACCTGCAGCTTACGGCCCAGGTTGCTTGCAGCATGCCAAAGGATTTCCTCTACATACAAAGGATGTTTTCCTCTATATTTTGTGCCAGCTGGGGAAATCCTTTGGCATGCCGTAAGTGACCTAGGGGCCACAGATTGTACAGGCCTGTTCTAGTGCCTTCCTTCTTTTAAGTGTTTCTTACTTATCCTCTACATAGCTTGTTTGTACATATTTGTTTTCTTCTTGTCTCCCCCATTAGATTGTAAGCTCCTTGAAGTCAAGGAATGTCTTGTCTCTTTATATCCCCAGTGCTTAGCACAGTACCTGGAACATAGTAGGTGCTTAATAAATATTTATTGATTGGGTGCTTGATGTTCTTTCTACTATAGTAAGGTATTTATCCTTACATGAGTAGAGACTTAAGTTTACTTGGGGGGGGGAAGGGAGTGAGTTTATAATTGTTTCATGTGAAAATGTCTTTCTCTATTTTACCCATCGATGAATATTAATTCCTTCTACATGTAAGGGACTTAACTCTTTCAGAGTAATGCAGAGCATTTCTCTAGGAGGCAGAAGATCTGGGTCTTAGTCTAATGACTCCACCGCTACCTAGTAGTATGACTTTAAACAAGTCACTTAACCTCTCTGGAACTCAGTTTCCCAAAACAAGGGAAAACTAGATGATCTGTATGTTTCCTCACAACTCTGTGATTCTTTTTATTATTTCTGTGATATCCCTAGTTATTTCTACTCTGAGTTCGAGTGAAACAAGTCTATTTTTTTCAGCCAAAACTGACAACCCTAATTACTGAGTTTATTGAAAAAATTACTTGAAATCACTAAGCTCTTCTCCTAAATGATCTTTCTAGTGCTGTTACATATAAAAACGTTGTTCTCATTCTTTCTAATTCTTTTTTATTTTAAAGACTACTTCACTTAATCTGTAATATTTTCCTTTTGTTTTCAAAGGCACAGGACCTGAATGTGATTGAGGAAGTAATTCGAATGATGTTAGAGATCATCAATTCCTGCCTGACAAATTCTCTCCACCACAATCCAAACCTGGTATATGCATTGCTTTACAAACGGGACCTCTTTGAACAGTTTCGAACTCACCCTTCATTTCAGGATATAATGCAAAACATAGACCTGGTAAGTATGAACAGAGTTCGCAGTCATTTACAAGACATTATTTTTAAAAGTGGAGACATATTCAGACTACAGAGAAAGTTTGGGTTAGCAAGCCTTGATCAGAACTACAGCAATGACATTCCATCCACTCTTTTCAATCCTAGAAAAACAAGAATGATTTAAATTTCGCCACAGTAGTATTTTACCCTTTATTTGTGAGAAATGTCTTTTCTTATACCACTTTAGCCCAATAAGTAGAATCAAGTAGAATCATGGTTTCCAGACTTTTTTTTCTTCTGGCTAAGAGTCTTGGCATCTATCCCATCTGCCTTGGACAAATTCACCCCTCTGTTTTTTTCCTTTTTCCTGTATGTGAATTTCTTATTCTTCTACCCTACCCAACCCTTCCACAACATGCAAATTACTGTGTTTACGTTACTCTGCTCCATTGGTCCTCTTCCTTGTAGCATGTTCTGATGTTGTTTATCGCCATATGAGCCACAGAAGAATCCCCAGCTCCCACTTGGAAAGTGCTGAGTTAGATAATACAGAACTTTAATAAAGGCTATAGAAAGAACATATTCTCCACCAAGGGCTTCTGTTAGATTTGCCATTGTACCAAGGGACTTGTGAACCAAATATGTTTTATACTCTATGGTAGTAAGTGAATCTTTTTTCCCTTTTAGTCCATTAGGTATTAAACTAGGCCCTTGACCTGTAATAATGAGAAAATTGTGCGGTTACCAAACAGCAGATTTAATAAAAGTAAATAACAAATGAAATGAACCATAAAGGAAGAAGTGCATTAAACATGTAACAGCTTTACAACAAAGACAGTTGTTGTTTACCAAAATCCTTGAAATATAAATTAATATGTTTACCTAAAAACATGCTATCCCAAGAAGTGTTCTTTGGATTTGAAAGTAATTTGATGCCCAGTTAAAATTTTCCCAGTTTTTAGAGACTCATTTTTTATGGTATTTCTCTCACCTGATGTTTAGGTGGGCATCTGATTTATTTTGAATTGCTACTTTTCCTCACAGAAATGATCCTAAGACTGTTAAGGTACTTGCTACCTTCATGGATTGAAGAAATTAGCAGTATTCAGGACTTTGAAGTGGGGCTCTAGTGCATTTGGATAAGTGCTAAATAGTGTATTCTAGCCAAGGTCGCCTATTCTTCCTCTGCACCATAAAGTACTGTTATTTACCTTGACTTGCCAAGAATCTTAAATACTCTGTCTTTTGGATGATGTCTTGTGCTAAGAGTCAACACAGGAACCATGCTGATGATCTTTCACTTTCATGAGTCCCATTTTCTGTCTCTAAAATATGGATAATCACATTTCCATATTAAAGGATTTCAAGATCCTGATATGAAACACAATAAGGAAGCCCAAATGAAAGGTCCAGCTTTCCATGAGAAGCTTTTCACTCCAAGCTACATTAACATAAAAGAGGGAAATGTATGCATCATTTTAAGAAATGGCATGGTTTGGACAATTCAAGAATAGATTTTTCTCTCTCAGCATGCCGATGGGAAAGAAAAAGTGTGTTATTTCCCCTTCCATAAATACTATACTCAGATTTCCCATCAGTATTTCTTAAAAACCAGAAACTAAGTTATATTTGTTTACTTTCCTTTCGTAATTCATTTGCACATAACTGTTACTTATGCCAACTCCTTGGACTTTATCTTATGCTTTCAAAATATGTTATCATTCCTCTGTTAATAGTGAATTCTTTTATCTATACTAAAATTTGTTTAAGGTCCTGGATACACTAAATGTGTATTATGTTTTCCCCATTTAATTATATAGGATTAACTACTGGCAAAATACCAGCCTGTCTTATGTAGTTTATGACATTTAATGTAACAAAAGAATTATCTTTTAAGTGAAGTATTCTGATTCTAGATCATAAATTTAATTCTGTCATGAATATGTTTATCAGATGAATGATCTCTTAATTCCACCCACACTTTACTTTATTGACGTTAAGAAGTAAATTCTACTGCTCATATTAACTAACCCTCTTATTTTAAAATTAGTCATTAACTATTCATACTGTTTCTAAAGCTCACATAAATCTAAATAAATACATTATCTTGAATACTTTTATCATTTGAATGATCTCTTAATTTCACCCACATTTTGTTCTTTATTAAAGTAGAAAGTGAATCATATAGGAAACAAGCATTTGTTAAGCACACCTACTATGTGTCAGGTACTGTGCCAAGTTCTTTATAAATATTATATCGTTTGAACCTTACAATACCCCTGTGAGATAGGAGCTATTATTATCCCCATTTTACAGTCAAGGGAACGGAGGCAGAAAGAGATTAAATGATTTTTCCAGGATCATAGAGCTGGTAAGTATCTGAGGCTAGATTTTAATTTAGGCTTTCCTAACTTTGGGCCCAGCACTCTATCCACTGTGCCACCTAGCTTCTGCTCATTAAGGACTAACCTTTGATTTTATTGGCTTTCTGTTGAGAAACTTGTCCATCACTGAAGATCAGCACTCTCTCTGGAACTTATAGACTTATCTATAATTAATTGAAAAATTAAGTGACTTGCCTAGGGGTTACACAGCTGGTATGTGTCAGAGGCCAGGTAGGAACCCAGGTCTCCTGGCTCTGAGGTCAGCTCTCTGTCCACTGCACCAGGCTGCTGTTCTTCATTTCTCAATTAATCATTAAGCATTCATTCTATTTCAGCTGTTTTGAAATGTGTATATATATATATATATATGTATTTATGTGTGTGTGTGTGTGTGTGTGTGTGTGTGTGTGTGTGTGTACCAAATTGTGGATATGTATATTGGCTATAAACAGTCAGAAAGATTAACATTATAACAAATTAATATTTTGCTCAAGGAAGCTAAATCCAATGTAATAGTGCAGGTACTGTTTGCTTTTTTATGCCCTTGCACTAGTTCAAATCAGTCTTGGGTTATAAACTAGCCTCTTATTCTAGACTTTAACATTAATGATGTATTTGCTGCAGAAAATTATTTCCTACGTAGTGCATAAAACTAGCTGTAGTTTTTACAATGTTATATGCAATTTTCCTGTATCAAAACTGTTTCATAATTAATGCTATCTTTCTTTGGAAAAGTAAACTAAAATTAAAACTCCAAATCTTTGCTATCAACCAAACTTGTATTTTCTGAAGCAGCTGGTGATACAGTGAATAGAGAGAACTGAGCCTAGAGTCAAGAAAACCTGAGTTCAAATTGAACTTGCTAGCTATATAACTGCCTCAGTTTCCTCATCCTTAAAATGGAGGTAATAATGGTAGCTACCTCCCAGGATTGTTGTAAGAATAAAGTGTTATAATACTTATAAGGCACTTTGTGAACCTTGAAGTGCTATATAAATGCTTGTTGTTGTTGATTCATTTTCATGCGTAAAGAACCACCAGAACCAAAAAAGTGTTATATAACCCCCTCTTTGTTCTCCCAGTCTCTCTGTCCTATGCATGTATTGTTAACTGATTTGAGATAAGCTGGCCACCTTAATAATAAGGCAAAAATAAAGCAGAACTAAGTATACAAAAACATTTAAATATTTCATAGGAGGATTAGAATGGACATAGAGTTTTTCAGTATGCTTATAATTCTGTCTTGACCTTTATGAACAAAAAAATGCCATACAGTTGATAAATGGTATTTGAGCAATATGACTGTAAAAGGGTAAATGTTTAGATTTTCAAAATGCAAAAGAGAATAGAATCTACATGACTCGTGAGCTGAACTTGATTGAAATTCCTGGGAATATTATAGAATGATCATTAAAGAGATGGTTAGTAAAAGTCTAGAAAGGAAAGCATTGATTACAAAGAGTCAGAATGGTTTCATGAAGAACAGATCATGGAAGAATAACCTTATTTCAGTTTTTGGAGTGCTGTTAAACTAGTAGATCATAAGAATACTGTAAATGGAATCTACCTAGATTTTAGTAAAGCAGCTGCTACAGTAATTCCATTCCATTCTTATATAAAAGATAGAGATATTTTGGCCAGAAGGTAATACAGTTAGATGCATTCACAAATGGTTGAATGGCCTGATTCAAAGAATAGTCATAAATAGTTCAATGTCACCATAGCAGGAGGTCTCCATTAGAGTTCTTCAGGGATCTGTTCCTGGCCTCATTCATGATAAGCGGAGATAGATAGATAGATAGATAGATAGATAGATAGATAGATAGATAGATAGATAGATAGATAGATAGATAGATAGATAGTAGATAGAACTTATTAAGTGCTTACTGTGTTTATCTAAATTATAGGTTACACAATGCTAAAAAGGATGGCCAACACACTATATGATACAGTCAGGATCCAAAAAGATCTTGATAGACCAAAACAGAGGGTTGGATAAGATCAAATTTAACAGAGTAAAATGTAAGGTCCCATAGTTAGATTGCAATGTATCAACTTTACAAGCATAAGATGGGAAAGTGTGGTTGGACAACAGCTTGTCTGAAAAAAAATTGAGGGTTTTTAGAGGACTTCACGTTTAATAGGAATTAGACATATGATGTGGGAGCCAAAAGCTCTAATGAAGCCTTGGGCTATGTCAAGAGACGGAGCTTTGAAGAACAAGATGATGGTCCCAGTGAACTTTGCCCTGGTTGACCACATCTAGAATTTTTGTTCAGTTCTGAGAGCCACAGTTTAGGAAGGACATTGATAAGCTAGAGAGTCATTAGGGGGAGGCATCTGGGATAGTGAAGGGCCTTAAGACTGTGTCATAAAAGGATCAGGTGAAGGAACTGAGAATGTTTAGAGTGAAGAGAACACTCGGGGAGGGGGGAGGACAACACAAAACACGATAGTTATCTCCACATACATGAAGGGCTAACATGTGCAAGAGAAATATTTGGCCCCAGAGGATAAAATTGATGGATGAAAGTTGCAAATAGGCAAATTTAGTCTTGAAGGCAGGAACCTTCCTTACAGTTAGAGCTGTTCAGAAATGGAATGAGCTGCCTCAGGGCCTTCTCACTGGAGGTCATTA